CGAATTTGCCATGACAAACTAACACAGTTGATCATACCAGGTCATACCAGGTCATACCAGGTCATACCAGGTCATACACAGGTCATACCAGCTGTATGAAGACCAAGATGGGATAGGTGAATGCATCGGGGCAGAAGGTCAGTCGCTCTAGCGAGTTGTAGTTTGGTGCTACAGCTGGCAAGGCTTACTGATAACGTCGATCACGTCTGAGAATGTACCAAGCACACCGTTATGTATTGTAAATTATCATGGCCACAATGGCAGAGGAAGGGCTCTAGACAAGGTCGCCTTGGCAACACGACCAATTTGTGGAAACGAGGTTGAATCACTGTTATGCAGAAGTAGTACCGTTTGGACTCGTTTTCCGACGGCAAATGACTGCCCCCATTGAACTTGAGCTCATTTATTAAAATGTGTACAGGTAAATATGTGCAAATACTAGTCGCTAATTTTTTCGATATAAGTAGGTTTCGATACTGTCAATAATTATTGAATGTCAACTTGGTCAGTCTAGGTCACTCAAGGAGCTTAAAGGATCGACAGTTGTGCTTCTCCCATGATTCCATTAAATTTCACTTGGTCTTGTCTCATCCAGGGTGGACATTTTATTGTTGGGTTGTCGATTGGGCAAATATGGATTTTCTACTACTCATTTTCCATATAAGTAGGCTCGAGTAAAGATTAAATGACTTTCGCAGTTTTCTTTTACCACTTAACCCAGCTGGTCAAAAACAGGTTATTAACTCAAGAAGCTACCAACCATGACGCAAACAACGGGATGGTGGGCGGTAGTGACTATCGGCGACCAACTGCAAAGTCCAATGTCCACGTCTTGTCAGTCTGGAAGCATTGTCAACTTTCCTTACCCCCCGGGGTTGAGGACAGGCTGGCATAACGATGATGACAGACTCGGCTGTTACACCAACCGGGTGACCAGCCAAACTGTAGGATGGCCTCCACACATACACACGCATGAGGGGTAAATGATATCAGGACTGATCGATATGCGATAAGCAGGTAGCTTGGCCAACCTACATTCATGTGCACACATACAACATGTGGAGAAGCACATCTTTTGTGCTCCCTTCGGATATGGACGAGGTGGTTTAAGGACTGTCGCAGTAGAGCTGGCCACTACGAGGCATGGAAGGGAGAGAGAAACAGCAGTTTGGCTCAACGAGTCAGTCGTGAAGATCAGTCGGCGGAGTCATCTGACGGCTCTGTCGCGTATGCCTGCAGAGACGCTACGACACAAAGTCTGCGAACGGTCAAAGAGACCCTTGACGAGGCCCCAAAGCCGGGCAAAAGTCTGCGAGGCGGCATCAGTGTCTGCCGGCAGTCTGTCAACCGACCGGTGGTGGGCGTAAGGGCTAGAGGGTCTCGGTCAGACGAGCCGAGGTGTAGCATGGATAAATGACATTTGTTGACGTCTCCTGTCGCCTGATCGTGCCGGCCTGTTTCACCCGGACATCTCGACCCCCGGCCAGCCCGAGCGGGCCAGAGACTGGCCGGACCGGAGGTGGAATCGGGACGCAGAACGGAGACCACCGCCTCCGAGCCTCATTTGCTGTCCTCTCCCGGTCATGGGGGTGAGCGCGTGAGTGAGAGCAAGAGATGTCATCATGTGCCAGGGGACTAACGAATGCCCGCTGTGCTGCCGGGATCACCGGCAACAAGATGGACGGATGGAGCGACGAAGGGAGGGAGGGAGGAGGCGAGCGAAGAAGACCTGCAGAGTGTCCACTTCTGTCTGGCAACAATCAAGTTTCTGTCAGTGCTTCTCCAAATGAACTTGGTCCACCGTCCAGCAAACCGGAGAGAAAACTGTACATGCTCCGCTGGATGAGTGGGCGAGCACTACACTCGGGCCGGCAGGGACAAGAGAAAGCGATGGTTTGCCCGAGTGAATGACCCTTGGTCTACAGGCGAAGGCATCTTATGCGTCGGAGGAGGCCGCATTAACGACAACTGGGACGCGATGACCAGAGCCACATTTTCGTTATCTTTTCTCCTCTTGACTCGGTGGCATGGCAGACCGGACAATTGCAAAGGCGTGATATAACCGAGACGGATTACAGAATTGTCCCGAGCCTACAGGTTCTTGCATGGGAATTTAAGTATACTGTTAAATTTTTGTCTTCATTTTGTCGGGAAATTTGGCTAGAATAGAGTCGA